TCATTCTTCAACAATGTCTCTGAAGAGCAGCCAAGCAGCTCAAATGCAACATCCATTAATCTGTTCCTCTAGAGCAGCTCAATCTGGTGCTCAGAGAGGGGAAAACCTTGAAAGGAGATTTGTGGACTGTGTGCAGCAGACCTTGTCCAGCTCCCTTGTCTTGTCCTGGTCCAATGCCAGAGGAAGTGTGGGGCTTGTCAAAAGCTGCAGCACCCCGGAGAGCTCCAAGTAAGCAATTTGCTCCAGTCAGAGGTTGAAAGCAGAAGGAGGCCTTTAAAGTCCTAGTCCCCAGACTCCCTCCTTCCAGCCTCTACCCCCTGGTGGAGAACATCAGAGGCCAACCCTCTGGCCTGAAGATGGGCACTCCTCTTCCTCCTCCTCCTCTGTTCTGTAGCCTCCTTCCCAATGCTGCAGGTGCCAGTGGGAATCTACATTCTGGCCCTACAGGTCCGAGTGGTTCTTCTGGGGGCTCCTGTCAAGCAACCTCAGGCCCACTGGTGTCCTGGTCTCCACTGGTCGGCTGAGAGCCCTGAACTTGATCTGGCTCCGTAAGCTCTACAGCCTCTGGCTCTGTGTCTGGATTGCTGGTGGGTTCATAGGCCATGTCACATCCAGACACCCCAAAGGGTATGCAAAACAACAACACCTTAAACAGGGAACCTGCAGCTCACATTTTATTTTTAATCACTGTACTATAAAACATTAGTATATTGTACGGTCTGTATTGCAAAGAAAAGGCACGGCTAGTGTTGGGGTTGTGCATAAACCTCCAGGCTCCCCTGATCTAACCTACATCACCCTCAATCTTGTGAGGATACAATGCTGCTCTGCCCTCATCGGAAGACGGCCGGGGTTCAGGTGTGCAAGAGAAATAAAACGCGCTCGTGATCTTAAGAGGCTGGGAAACCATGGCAAATCCCACAATGTAAAAGTCAGTGTGACAAAAGAACTTTGAAGTGTGTAGGAGATCCAGAGAAAGATGCTGTTTCTAAGGCTCAAAACAATTAATATCTGTATGTGCCCTTGTTAACCTGCGCAGAGGCAAAAGCACAGAGCTGGTTCTTTAAATAGGCTTAAGCCCACAGCTCAAAAAGGCAAGCAATTAACCTGTGGAGAGGGCACAGCGAATACCGAAGAATTTATTTAGCGCCCCTTTTATAGCATTCCCTGGACAAAGAGAAAATACTTGAAAAGCTGGAGAAGGGTACCTCGAGGAGACATGACTTTGCATTACAAAAATCACCTGGTGTTTCATAATCCTTACCTTTCCCCCCTTTGAATAGATATGGTACCTTATCTGGGAATGTTATCCTGCACACCGGATTCAAGTGTCTCTGAATTCAATAGGATTTACTTTTGAGCAGATACGCACAGGGCTGCACTGGCAACTTGGCTCTTGTGGATGTGAAACCTTGCACTGGTTTAAGGTGAAACCAGAACACACAGGAATTTCAAATAGATCTTAAGAACTGCTGATCTGATTCAGAAATAAATACTTTGTGACAAAACTATGTATAAAATCTGACAGTGGATATGCGTGATATTATTTCTGCTATATATCTGTGCTGTCTCAGGAACAATGCTCATGTCCTCTCCTGAATTCACCTCTGTTGGGATATTTCTTTTTTCTTTTTTAACCAGAAAAATAAAGTGATGGAGAATCATATTGCTAAGCACTGCCAGATGCGTTTAGAGCTGGAGATGTAATGCAACGTTGCCCCCACCAGAGATGTAAAATTTCAAGACAGTTGAAGTCATGGGGGTTGGTGGGAAGAAAATTGAACTGTAAGCAGTACATTTCATCAAATCTTAAACTTCTGTTAAACCACTTTTAAGAGTGTGAAATGTTTGAAGGGTAACATAGGAAACACACCAAAACCGTTCTGTGGTTCAGCAAATTTTTGAAGTATAAATACCTTAATTTAATTAAAATTACTATTGCAAATACATAGATCTGCTGCATCCCAGGTCCTAGTCCTATACTCTAACCACTACACCAAACTGGCTCTGCATTTTTGAATTCCCTGCATCTCTAGATGAAACGTAAACCGCCTATCTTAGCTGAAATATGGATATGCAATCTAACAGAATTTGTTTGTTTTATCCTCAGGGTTATACACACAGTAAATGTAGGGGTGCCTCTCTCTTTCTTTCATCTCTCCCTAATTAACAACATTCATGTATGCAGGCCCAGAGCATGTGGCTTCCTCAAACGCTTTACATGCCATGTGTAAAAATAATCTCTCTTCCCCTTTCCCTCATGAACCAACAGGCCGGATCTAGCTTTTGTGCATGGTGATCTGGCCTCTCATGTCCCTCGGGTTTTCTGAGGAGGAAGCACAAGGACTGTGGTTAGAAAGTTCTGTTAACAGACACCCCAGAGAAAGGAAAGGTGGTGCTGAGTCTGCCTTCTTGGGTTACATGAGGACTGGACACAGTCAGCATTGCTTGAGAAACAAAGGCCTCATCTGTGCTACACATTTAAAGCAATATCATGTCACTTTTAACCAGCCCATGGCTACCCTGCCCAAAGAATCCTGGGAGCTGTAATTTGTTAAGGTTGCTAAGACTCGTTAGGACACCCCCATTGCAAGGCTGCTGTTCCTAGAGTGGTTTAACAATCAATCCTTCTTCTCTGGAAACTCTGGGAAGGCAGACTGCTGTGGTTCCCTGCAGTGAAACAAAACCAGCACCTGGAATGTTTTTTTTATTCTCTGTTAACTTTCTTTCTGCTCTTTAGGAATGGTGGATTTTATTCTATGATTGTGTTTTGTCCCACTTGGATTTATTGATAATACTGATTTCTCCTCACCCCTTTGCCTTCTATTGTCATTAGGGTTGCCACCCATCCCTAGAAAAACAGGTTTGCCCCGTTTTTGCACAAAACTGTCCCCTGTCCTGTTCAGACTTCAAATGGGACACCTTTCCCGCCGTATTCAAGCTTGGTGGGCCCAAAATGGCGGTTGCATCGCTGTTGGTGCGACTGATGAGAAAAATTTACATTTGCAGCTTTGTCCCCTTGGCATGTGAGCTCTGGAAGGCTCATTGAAAGGAATCTGGCCCTCGGTGGAGAGAGCCAGTGTGGTGTAGTGGTTAAGAGCGGTAGTCTCGTAATCTGGGGAACAGGGATTTTGGATTGATCTTTATTACGGCCATTGGCCCGTTACACGACAGTTTCCCATACCAACATATTATACTTAAACCTCCAAATTTAAAATCGCCAAAACTTACAAAAGACAAACAATAATCGAAGCAAAACAAAAACAAAAACCACCATCATACAAAAACAGAAACCACCATCATACATTACAATAAATTTGTAACCTATACATCGCCCTCTGCTCATAAATTAATCAGGGATATCAATGGTGATATCGCCTAAAACATAGATCATGGTTTAAAACAATGGTGATATCACCTAAAACATAGGTCATGGTTTAAAGGGGTTATCCGAATCACACAGGAGACCGTTTCTCTTCTTTAGGGATCGGACGCTGATCAGGAATCTGGCAACCATGAGTGATTTTAGGGGGTCATCATCAATTAGTAGATATCTCAGTTTGGCTTCAATCGTATCATTGGCAATTCCCTTAAGATATTGAGCAAGAAACTTGCTCCTGGCCGGTAATTGAAAAGCACAGTCAAAGATTATGTGATGCAACGATTCCGGTGCCCCACTATTACAATCACATAAGAGCGATATCTGTCCATTGGAGAATCTATTGCTCAGCACGTTCGATGGGAAGGTGTTGAATCTTGCCTTTACAAAGGCATATCTATGAGCTGAGGAAGTTAGGGAATTCAAATAGTTTGGGAGCCTTAAGAGGGGTAATAAACCAAGATTTAGAGGTGAGCAGGTACCATTGCCCAAGATCATTTTCTGCTGCAAGTCCATCTCCTCTAGCTTACAGGTTACTGTTCTTTTAGCTGGGACTATGTCCTGCTCTAGTAATTTGGATGGGGAGATTCCCATTGCCGTTATTTTCAGCTGTAAATTTTTTAGTGGTTAAGAGCGGTAGACTCCTAATCTGGGGAACAGGGTTTGCTTCTCTGCTCCTCCACATGCAGCTGCTGGGTGACCTTGGGCTAGTCACACTTCTTTGAAGTCTCTCAGCCCCACTCACCTCACAGAGTGTTTGTTGTGGGGGAGGAAGGGAAAGGAGAATGTTAGCCGCTTTGAGACTCCTTAAAGGGAGTGAAAGGCGGGATATCAAATCCAAACTCTTCTTCTTCTTCTCTGTCCCCTCTCTGAAAATATAAGTGTTCCCTCTTTGCAGATATGAGCTCCAAGGTTCCCTTCCCACCACTCTAAGTGGCAGCACCACACTTTAAGGCCACTTTACATGCAAGAAGGGGCTGCAGATGGGCAGGTGGCCTGTAGAAAGTGTGCTGCACCCTGGAGAAACTCAAAAGTCATCATTTATCTAAGCAGAGTTTCTGCCTAGCGAATATGCTCTCATTTTCACTTTAAAAACCTTTGCATTTAACATGCAGATTTCAAAAACCAAAACAGCATCAGAGGGACAGGAGGAGGGGGCTGATAATCAATAGGATCAGAATAGGCATGGGGGGGAGGAATTAACCCTTTCCTGCCAATTTAACCCCTCTTAAATGCAAAAATGTGTTTAACATCATCTGTCCTCATTTCACCCTGAGTGTATTCTCTGCCTGGCACACCCTGACTGAGTCATTTTACATTTGTGCAAGTGGGTTCTTCAAAAAGGGGGCTGGGTGGGTTGCTGCCTTTTAAATGCTCCAGAGCCCAAATCTCACAGCTTTGTTCAGGTGTCAATATTTACTTGGGTGGGAAACTGGCTTCTATTGCAGTTTGGCCTTACTTGTGCATGTGTGTGTTTTAAAATAGGGCCAAGCATTTTTGACACAGGCGTATGCACAACTCTCCTCTCTGTTTCAAAAGCCCCGTTCTTTCAGTTGCACTTCCTCAAATTGGACGAGGGAGGGGAAGGCCGGTAAAAGGCAGACTCTTCTGAAAACAGAGAAGTATTCGGAGGTCTCTGAAGCCTCGTAGAGAGTTTGCAGCGCACATTTTAGGCCAAGGCAAGGGTGCTGAGTTTGCCTTGCCTGAGCTGTCCGAGGTGTGGAGAAGCTGAAGGACCATTAATCCCTTTGGCTCTCGTGCTGACAAGGAACTGTAGGAATGTCTCAACAGCTGCGAGGCGAGAGGTGAGTCCCTCAGACACTTTCTCCTGGATACTCTAGCTTTTGCTTGAAAGAAAATGTCAGGAGCAAAGGGGGACAGGGGGCTGTCACACCTTTAATAGTTGTGTTGAAGAGGGCAGTGATGGTGGGCACCCATTGGAACTGGTAGCACAGAAGGCAGGCAGCCCAGCAATAGGTGGAGCCAGAGCCAATGACAGGCAGAGGCCATTAATCCTGGTTTTGCTTCTATCCTCCTCCCTGATGAGTTCTGCAAAGAGGGGGAAGCTGCCAGGGCCACCCAGTGGACTGGATGTAAGTAAGAAGGCAGGCAGGTGGAGGGTGACTGAGGACAGACTGAGGTTGGTGGGGCACTGCCCCATTAGCTTCAGTGAGGCAGCCTCCACTGGAAGAAAAGATTGTCAAGCAATCCTCTTCTATAAGACCAGGGGTCAGCAAACTTTTTTAGCAGAGGGCCGGTCCATTGTCCCTCAGACCTGGTGGGGGGCCAAACTATTTTTTTTGGGGGGGAGGGAGAATGAACGAATTCCTATGCCCCACAAATAACCCAGAGATGCATTTTAAGTAAAAGCACACATTCTATTCATGTAAAAACATGCTGATTCCCAGACTGTCCGCGGGCAGGATTGAGAAGGCGATTGAGCCGGATCTGGCCCCCAGGCCTTAGTTTGCCTACCCAGGTACAAGACTGTTGGAAATGCAGGAGCCTACAGTCCTCTTCTCATTTGGCCACTCTCATTTGAACAGCTCTCTGGAAAGTTTGTCTACTTGATCCAATGTTTGGATCTGCCTCTAGAAAACATAACAATGTCAAACACTGGTGAGCTTCTTTAAATAATAATAATAATAATAATAATAATAATAATAATAATTTATTATTTATACCCCGCCCATCTGGCTGGGCTTCCCCAGCCACTCTGGGCGGCTTCCAAAAAAATATTAAAATACTGTAATACATCAAACATTAAAAGCTTCCCTAAACAGGGCTGCCTTCAGATGTCTTCTAAAAGTCTGGTAGTTGTTGTTCTCTTTGACATCTGGTGGTAGGGCATTCCACAGGGCCTTTTGCGGGAGAGAGTCCTACAAGACCTGAGCAAATACTAAGGTGGCCCTGGTCTTAGATGCAAAAGAGGGCAGGACTCCTTTTGCAAGGAATACCTGGTAAAATTCCTTCTTCTACACAACTATTTGAGGAGTGAGAGCCCTGTCCCCTTTTGCAGCTGGCCCCTCTAGTTTTAAATTATAAACTGTTTCAATTCTTCAACTCACTGGTGGGGAATCTTCAGCCTGCAGGCCTAACCAGGCCAGTCATTTGGTCATCCTCATTTGGTCCACGAGGCTGCTTTGGCCAAACCATCGTCACCTGCCCTTCACCTGATGTCATATAAGGTTAAGGTAAAGATGTGCTTGGGCCAAACTGGAGGTTAAGCTAACCCCTTTCCAGCCCCATGAGCGCGGGGAGCATTCGCGCAACACACCTACACACTGCAGCTGACACACTAATGTGTCACCACACACAGTTTGGAAAGCTCTGCCCTAAAGTAACCTACTGTCCTCAGGTGCAGTAGGGAGCACTGACCCATCACCGTGGGGATTCGAACCACCAACCTTCTGATAGGCAAGCCCAAGAGACCACAGTGTCATCCATGTCCTCTCCTTTTACCTTTTTACTTTTTCCATCACCGCTGTTCAGTTGGCTATTTTAGGTGGAATGGAACAGTTTGCCATCTTGTCCTTTGCCTCAGGTAGCAAAATATCTTGCTTGTTTCATTCATTCATTCATTCATTCATTCATTCATTCATTCATCTGATTTCTTACCCATCCTTCACCATAAGGCCCAAGGGCAGGTTACAGCAATATACTGTAGTATGCAGTTTTAATTGTTTATAACAGTTACAATTATAAGAACAAGTGAAACCATTTCAACCAAAACAGAGCAGTCTAGATTCAACAAGAGAGATGGGTCCTGCAAAACCACAATGCTTTACCTGCCAAAGGGGAAAGCTATTCAGTTTATGGTGAATGTTCTACAACAGAGGTGCTAGGTGCACCTCTGTGGCGAGGGAGTTCCACAATTTAGGAGTGCCACTGAGAAAGCCCTCTTCCAGGTCACTACCCCCCCCCCCATTTCCGAGAGTGGTGGAACTACCAAACGAGCCTGTTTGCCTGCCCCAACACCCAATGTGGCCTGTAGGGATGGAGGTGGCCTTTCAGCTAGACACCAACTTGGATGGCTTTAAAAGAGGATTTTCATGGAGTTTAAGGCTATCAATGGCAGCTAGCCATGATGGCTATGCTCTGCTTCTATGGCTGGAGGCAGCAATGCTTCTGAATACCAGTTGCCAGAAACTGCAGGAGGGGAGAGGGCTCTTATGCTTGGGTCTGCTCCTGAGTTTCCCACAGGTGGCCGCTAAGAGAACAGGATGCTAGATGGGTCATTGACCTGACCCAGCAGGCTCTTCTTGGGTCCTTACGTTCTTAGATTTTGGGGGACTAAGTCATTTAGGGCCTTAGATACCAATGTGTCTATTGTTTGTGCTTTTTCATTCTATGTACAGTCATACCTCGGGTTACAGACACTTCAGGTTGCATTTTTTTGGGTTACGGACCGCTGAAACCCGGAAGTACCAGAACAGGTTACTTCCGGGTTTCAGCGGTCGCGCATGTGCAGAAGCGCTAAATCAAGCTTTGTGCATGTGCTGCTGCGGGTTGCGAACTCTGCGGGTTGTATTATTCATATTTGTAATACACCCTGATTTTTAATTCATAGGTGGGTGGGGTAGATGTCTCTTGCATCATGACTGCCACCAAAATAATGGCTGTCCTCGTCTTCACTAATACCGTATTGGCCCAAATATATAAGCCACACTCCCCCCCCCAATTTCCAATCATGAAAAGTTAAAGTGTGAATTATACCGCGACCTTACTCTGCCAGCAAAGTGGTGTGGCTCCCCCCCCCCCCAGGAAGCAGCCCGGGAGCACGGGGCAACGGCACCCATCCCATCTGTGGCTCCTAAGCCTCCTCCAAGCTGCCGAATTTTAAAGATACAGCTTATTTGCGGGGGCGGTTTATATTCAGGCCGATATGGTAATCTCTTCACTTGTTTTCCAGTGATTTTGACCAGCTTCCCGATGATGTGCCTGTTTCTGCTAACATTGCAGACATTGAGGAGAAGAGAGGCTTCTCTAGTTACTACGTAAGAGAAGGACTTTTCTTATGAGTTTTGATCTGGGGATTGATGGGGAAACTGGAACTGCAGGAAATGTTTCCTTTTTGGGCAAACAGAATGTATCATTTCACAAAAGGAACATTTCACATGGGAAATTACTTGCTTCACAGCACTAAATTTCACAATACAGTACTGTGATGACTGATGGTTATTACACAGCCTTATCTGTTAGACTCTTTCAGACATAAGCAAAATTCCCTGATAATGTAATCCTGTACATTCTGAATGGGGAACCTGCCTCCTTCCAGATGTTGTTGTGCTACAACTCCCATCATTGGCCATGCTGGCTGGGGACTGATGAGGAGTTGTAGTCTAACAATATCTGGAGGGCCACAGGTTCCTTGCTCTGCCATAGATGTTTACTCAGAAGTAAGCCCCTGAGATACTCAGTGGGACTTAATCACAGGGAATTGTGCATAGGATTCTGCCTAAATATGCATTGGGACATAATGCTAAACCGTAGTTTAGTGTTATGTGAATGAACTTGGGAGCAGAGGCTCTTCCCTCCCATCTCCTCTGGAGCAGCTAAGCAGAGGAAATAAGAAGTGTTCATTTCTGTTTTCAGCTAACCATGGTTTGAGATTATGTGCAGAGCAGACAAACTATGATTTGTGTTAGCTATGGTATGAGGAAACAAGGCCACTTCAATCTGGGCCTAAACCACAGTTAACATTAATCCTGGTTCTGGATTTGTACATAACAATAAACTACAGTTCTCTGAGAATTGAAGCCTAAATGGTTGTATTATGTTCTCAGTATTCAGTGCAAAACCCACTTATACTCCAGCGCCACTGAGAAAGTCAAGCACGTTTGCATATTTGTATGTTCCTGTCTTTCCCCTGTCTATTTTAAGGGTATAAGAAGCTTAAGCTAAGTCAGTCTACAGGTCCAATTAATTCACACCCCATAGTTCTTTTCCAGGGATGTGGAATCTGCAGCGCTCCAGATGTTGTTGGACTCCAACTCCCATCAGCTGCAGCTCACATAGTCAGTGATGGGAGATGATAGGAATTGTAGTCCAGCAACATCTGGAGGGTCACAGGTTCTCCATCCCTGGTCTACTTTGGCAATAGTTTTCCAAGTCACGCTGCCCAGTGTCCTTTAACTGGTGTCTTCTTCTCTCCCAGGTCTTTGTGATCGAGGTGAAAACAAGAGGTGGAGGCAGGTATATGATATTCCGCCGTTACAGCCAGTTCTATAACTTGCATGCCAAGCTAGAGGAAAGATATGGTTCAGAAAGCAGAAACAGTCGCTTTTGCTGTCTACTCCCTGTCCTTCCTGGTAAGACATAAAAACTTTCCTATACCTGTCTTTCATTCTTAGATAAATATTTTAAAGAATCATTCAAAGTGGCTGAGTAACTGGATAACAGTAAATTCAGATGCTTCCCATGTGTTCCTCCTTTGGATTTTCCGGCACTTGTGTCAGGAGATGTTTGAGGAATTCATTATTTATGAATTCAGATACAAACTGCCCTGCTCTATACCTACCAGGCTAATGTGTGGATCAGAATGTCATTATTCTTTGGATTTCACTCTTTTCTGAATCTCTTAATTTGGTGTTTTCCAGGAAAAGTTTATGTTGGTGCAAAGAGGGAGATTGCTGACAGCCGAATCCCAGTACTCAATGCGTACATGAAGGTAACTCTGGGCAGAACTGTCCACACTGGTGCATGAGGTTGTTTTAATATTGGATCATAAACTGAATGCAAAACCTATGCAGGGTATGAGTGAGCACTATTCCACTCCAACGGCATTCAAATATGGCTGAAAAAACCGGGGAAGCAACAAGGCAAAGAATTGCATTTGTTTCATATGAACTTTGCCATCACAGCTTCCTCCAAAGAATCCTGGGAACTGTAGTTTGGTGAAGGAGCTCAGAATAGTTCATTGGCCATCACTGCCCACCCTTCTAGACTATAATTACCAGAGGTTGCTGAGGGAAGGGAATGACCGCTAAACCAGCTTGAATGTTATTATTTTCCTTGCTGCATTTGGCTTCGCTAAAGGACACTAAAGAAAGTAATCCATTTTGTAGGAATGAATCCATGCCAAATTCATAGATTTTAAAATCACTCCTCCACACATACAATGGGGCCACTATGAACATGTAGAGGAATTTTCATTTTCTATTTAACAAGATTTATATACCACATAATAATGATGATATAACTTACCTATGTGTAGATACAACAACAACAACAACAACAACAACAACAACAACAACATTTTTAAAAATGTAAATGAAGCCAACAGTTTTCTAAAATATAATGTGGGCAAATATGAGGTAATTTTTCTTCTTGCATCATCAGATCACATAATTTCAGGTCAACCGTTATGTGCTAACCTGACAACTTTGGCTTAACTACAATATATCAGGAAACGGCTAAGGAAACCTGCAAGAGCTTGCCTTCTCATCAAGGGGAAATACCGTAACTCGCAATGAATGGGTTATAGTACCCGACCTCCCAATCAGACGCTTAGGCCCAAAGTGCAGCATGAAGCCTGTGGTTGCCCAACTCTGACCTAATAGTTGAGAGGATTCCTAGCATCCCGCTCACATGTTCAGGGATTATGTGAGGGGACTGCATTTGCAGTTCCCACCCCAGAGGTACAGCTTTATAGTCACACAGAACTCTTTCTCCTTAATGTTGTACATGTATCAGTGTTTAAGAAGTGGGGCCAATACACAAAATCCTACTTCACTCCCACATATTCATTGTAAGGCAAAAGGTAAAAAAGGTAAAGGACCCCTGGATGGTTAAATCCAGTCAAAGGCGACTATGGGGTTGCGGTGCTTGTCTCACTTTCAGGCCGAAGGAGCCGGCGCTTGTCCACAGACAACTTTCCGGGTCATGTGGACAGCAGGACTAAACCACTTCTGGTGCAATGGAACACCATGATGGAAACCAGAGCACATGGAAACCTTCCCGCCACAGCAGTACCTATTTATCTACTTGCACTGGCATGCTTTTGAACTGTTGGTTGGCAGGAGCTGGGACACAGCAATGGGAGCTCACCCCGTTGTGGGGATTCGAACCACCAACCTTCTGATCAGCAAGCCCAAGAGGCTCAATGGTTTAGACCACAGTGCCACCCGTGTTATATTCATTATAGATGGGTGGGGTGGGGGTAAACAGCCCCAGAGAGATCTCCTGTTGCTCTGGAGCAGAATCTTATCAGGGGTCATGCCCCATATTCATATACCCCCCTCTTGTTTTCCTTTGACACAGAAATTGCTTAGCTTCCCAGCCTGGTTGCTGCTAGATGAAGATGTCCGATTGTTTTTCTACCAGTCGGAGTTTGACAGTCAGCAGGTACCTCAGGGGCTGCGAAGGCTTCGCCCACGCACCCGTCGCGTGTGAGTATCTCCTCCCCAGTCTTTCTGCCAAATAAATAAGACATCCCCCCTTTTTTTTACCTGCCTGGAATTTAATCCTGTAGCTTCATGGCCATGCATCCAAATGACACATTGCTCTCCCTCTTCTTGGTGACAGCAAGAGCGTTTCACCCCAGGAACCTGGCTTTGACCGACTGGCAGCCCCGCGGGCAGAGGTGGGTACCTTATACAGCAAGTCGCAGAGGTGTATAAGATTGAATTTCTTTGAAGATATGGAATGTAGGGGCTCATCAACACTTCCCTTGTCCTATGCCTGGAAAGCATGTGTCTGAGCAGTTTTCCACGTTTTCTAGGTCTGGGTCCAAGCAGTTTTGCCTTTGCCCTGCTGCTTTCCCCCAGAAAACCCGCTCTTCAGCACTAAATTGGGACAAACAGCAATCCACCAAAAACCTGATTGCCATTTCTTCTGATTCAATATTAAATATCAGGTTTCCTCGGGGGAGAGTGGTGGGGCGTACGGGGGTGTGGATAAGCCCTATGTTTCTAATACCAAAAAGATTGTTAAAGTAACATAGGCTGAGTTACCCAGCTTGTGCAAATAAGTATTTTGGCTTAGGAGAGCATATTATTTAGATACCATGGGTCACCCTAGTTTGGGATTCATAAACTAACCTTAAACTCTAGTTTACAATCCTGGTTTGATCCTAGTTTGTTTGGGAGCAACAACCCAGAATGTTGGGTTTTCACGTTGTGGGAAACCAAGCTTAATAGATAGGAGAAATATAGTTGAAGTTAAAGTGTGTGTGTGTAATAGAATAATAAACTCTGCAGTCTCATTTATTGGACATCCCCCTTCAATGATTGGAACTATGGGGATGTGATCTTTATCTTCTGTGAGCCTAGACTCAATCCATTCCTCCAGTTCTGTTACTTTATTTGTTTGGTTCTTTCGATAGGCACTGTTTGATTTTACTGGGTCCACTAAACTGGAACTGAGCTTCAAGAAGGGAGACTTGATTTATTTGCTCAGCAGGGTCAACAAGGACTGGTTTGAGGTAAATATCAAGGCCTTATCTGATCATATATTACTGGCTTGATTTCTAATGTCTATCCAGCTTGGAGTGTGCTTTTAATCAGGGGGTGGATTAGCTTTATTGCCATTGCTGGATAGATAAAGACATCACCAAATTTTGAGGATGGATTTGTGATTCCACTCCAGGTCAGAAGTGTGTGTGTGTGTTTTAAATGGACAATCCAGACAGCTGTGTTGTCGTGCCTAGTTTGTTGCTTTTGGGGCAGATTTTTGTCATTAATGGCACATCCATATTTGGTCATTTTACTTACTGCCCTAGTCTTCTGCAGCTCATTTCGCAGCCCCCTCATTCCCTCTTAAGAAGATCTCTTTTTCACTGCGCTCATCAAAGGAGATTCTGTGCCACATCCATTGTTAAGTTGTGGGCGAACATATCACATGACACAGCGATTCTTCAAACAGCTCTTCTTTATTCTGAGGCCCGAATTGAACTGAGCTGAAGGGCTCAGTCAGCCTGCTTATATAGAGCTCCAGTACCTTGTTACTGTAACAACTTTCTAAAACTATCCAATCACTGAACGTCACTTTCGATCCTTCATTTGCATACAAACTATCCAATCACTGAACATCACTTTCGATCCTTCATTTGCATAACTATCTACAGTATCCCCCTGCTGGCCCAGGGTGAGAACTTCAGTACATAACATCCATAGTCAACAAATTCTTGCCATTGTGCTCTCACGCAACCATAGAGGCGTGCCACCCTTTTAAAGACATTGCTTCTCCCCACCATCTTGTCCCAGGGAACTGTCCGAGATGCCACTGGAATTTTCCCAAGTGCTTTTGTGGATATCATCAAAGAACTCCCACAGGAAGAGGATACCATCAACTGGCTGCGCTGCTATTATCATGATGACAATGTCAGCAGCATCAGGTAGGGGAAACTTCTTCAGACATGGGGCCACCTTCTGTTCTGGGTAACCAATAGTGGGTGGGGCCAGAGGCAAAAATGGGTGGAGCAAAGAATGTAAATTCATTAGGATAGTTTCCACATGCACCTCTTCCTATCCTCCATCCAGGCAAACGAACGGCATTGTCAGAGGTCAGTGACACATTTCAGCCAGGCGAACTATTCAAGGAGGGGCATTGTCTGGGGATAGGGGATGTGGCTAGGGAAAATGTTTGGATTTGGATTTGATATCCCGCTTTATCACTGCCTGAAGGAGTCTCAAAGCAGCTAACATTCTCCTTTCCCTTCCTCCCCCACAACAAACACTCTGTGAGGTGAGTGGGGCTGAGAGACTTCAGAGAAGTGTGACTGGCCCAAGGTCACCCAGCAGCTGCATGTGGAGGAGCAGGGAATCGAACCCAGTTCACCAGATTATGAGTCTAAAGATGTGTGGTTTAGGGAGAGTGCCGAGGGCTGGATAGAAAGGCTTGGAATTGCTGCTTCTGGGGAGCTATTACAGCAACCTGGATTGACTATTTATTTATTTATTTTTATTTATTAAATTTGTATACTGCCCTTCATCTCAGGGCAGTTCACAACATGAAAATACAAGATAAAAACATGAAATACATAATAAAAGCAAGAACAACACCCCCACAAACCAATAATCCTCCCCATTGCTTCCCACAAACATATTTAAAAAGGGTATCAGATGTTAATCAGCCCAAGGCCTAGTTGAAGAGGAGACTCTTGCCTCTGCTGTAAATTCAGCAGATAGTTTTAGGAAACTGCTGCCTCTTGAATCCTCCCACCTAACAATATGGAAATTAATAGTTCTGACATAGCTTGCAAGGTAGTTGTTAGAGATACTAGATAATGCACCTGATTCATTGCTCTGAATGTTGTTGTTGTTGCAAAATGCTAATCTTTATGCTGAGTTGGGGAGAGAACTTGCATATTCAAGAACCCCTGAAGTCCTATATGCAGAGTTTCCACAGAACCCGGCCATTTAAACACACACATGCCTTTCTTACTGGAACATGGGGTGCTTGTGTATTTTCCATTTAAGCACTGATACAATGTCAGGTTGTTTCCAGATGACCTGCTTGTTGAGCATTTCTCCTGATTTGTTTGCACAAAGTTTCCCACAAGATTTTACAAAGTCTGTTGTTTGTTGAGCATGCTTTCTGTCTGGGTTGCGGAGAGGTTATCATACCCTCCAACATTTCTCCAATGAAAATAAGGACATCCTAAGGAAAAGTGGGACATTCAGGGATCACATCAGAAACTGGGACGGCATTTCTAAATCAGGGACGTCCCTGGAAAATAGGGACACTTGGAGGGTCTGGGTTATAAGACGTTGTATTAAGCAATTGTTATCCCACACTTTCTTGTGCATTTCCCCATTACTTTCCCTACTGCAGAAAGGCGTGATTTCTTTTTGGAACTGGATTAGAGCACCAACTCCACTTTAATGCACAACTTGATTTTTCTGGTCTGTGATCAAATCCCCTCTTCAAAACAGCTACAGTTTGGAAAGGGGCCACAGACTGAGTTCAAAAAGTGAAGTGCAAGCAAGGTCTTCCTGTTGGATTTCCTCTTTCGCACTTCCGCTGCAAGCTGACCTCGTGCCTCTCTCTTTTAGGGACATATCGGTGGAGGAGGACCTGAGCAGCACCCCACTATTCCAAGACCTCATGGAATTAATAAGGTAAAAAGCACAGGAAGAAAGAGCTCTCTCAGGCAAAATATGCTGAAATCATTTGCTCTTATGTGCACTTTGCTGAAATTCCAAATGACTTCTGCAATTGTATCTGGAAAAGATTTGCTGTATTAGGAGTTGAATTGTTTCAATAGTCCCTTAAACCAAAATAACTGAAAGAATCCCTTCATTTATTTTGCTCTTAACAAGTGGAGGGAGCCTTCTGTTCCTTGAAGCTGTTTGTGCTGCTCTTCTCTTTGGAACTTTGAATGGGGAAATTTGTGTCTTCAGTTTGCCATTCCAGTGCAAGTCTCTAGTGTAGGGTATGCTCACACTGCTATTAGCGCGTATAGTCCCCTTACCTAATACTACGTACTGTCCTGATTTGCACTCCGCTTCCTTTATTTAGTGCCAAATTTAGCAGCTCATTAAACAGATAAATTGGTAAGTGTGTCCATTAGTGCTAACTTTAGCATAGGATCTTTCTTCCTGCTCATTGTCTTGTCCTTCCTGCTTTGCTCTTATTGGGATGCTTGATATGGCTTTGCACATGTGCTTGTGAGTTAATCTGATTTTGGTCCTGTGCACCTACTCAACTACTTTCACAAAGGAAATCTTAACTTTTAATCTAAAAGGCATAGGTGCCACAACACTAAAGGCCTGGTCCCTATTTTGTGCAGAATGGACATCCCTATAAGATGCTGTCTGCAGGAGGCCCTTACTGAGGGAGTGCAGTTTTCAATACTGTAGGGTATATAAAGATTGATAGGCTATTTCAGGTATCCTGGTCCCAACCTATATAAAGCTTTATACACCCAAACCAGCACCTTGAAATTAGCCCAGTAGCTAATTGGTGACTCATGGTATAATCACGGTGGTGACCAGTCTCAAGGGTAGCACCACATAGAGCACATTGCAGTAATCCAGCCTGGATGTTACCAGTGCACGGATGACAGTGTTATGAAAATAGAAGGAAGAATAAAATGTAACTATTTAGAGAGAGAGATTGAGAGAGAGCGAGAGAGAGAGAGAGCGCGAGCGAGCTACAACCAATCAGGAGAGGATGAAATATGTATGTGCCACAAATCAGTTGCACAGCACATGCAACTTCAAAAATGTATATTGTCCAAGGACAGCCAGGACCAATGATCCAGGGACAAATACTGCTTGCAGCTGAAGTTTGCTGATTGATGCAGATGGAGCCTGAGAGCTGAATCAATCATGTCACCATTTTTAATGAAGTTGAAATTTGTGTGGAGGAGCACAGGAAACTTTCACATGTATGGAAACTAACTTGGTGTGGCCTACTTGTCTGGATTTGTGTGTGGGGGGGTGTTGGGGGGGGAATGGCTTTAAAAGATTTAGACAGATTCATGGAGGCAGTGCTTTCAATGACTGCTAACCATAATGGCTACGTTCTACCTCCACTGTCAGAGGCAGTATGTCCCTGATTTCCAGCTTCTTGGAATTGTATGTGGGCAGAGGGTTGTAGCGCTCATGTCTTGCTGGCAGGCTTCTCACAGGCTTTCGGCTGGCCACTGTGAAAACAGGATGCTGGACTATAGGGGCTATTGGCCGGATTCAGCAGGCTCTTCTTCCATTCCTAAAATCAGCCACACCCACAGGGCATTGTTTTTATACCCTGCCACCCTCAGGTCACACTACAAAGCCTTCACAGCTCTCTCTCTCTCTCCCTCCCCCCCCCCTCTCTCCCGCCCCCAGCTTGGTCTCCTCAGAAGGAGCTGCCAGGACTACACCCAGGAACGTTTGCTTTTGTGTATGGCTGCCCCATGTGGCGAATGATCAGAATTTCATTTTGGAACATTTGCTTTGCAAAAACATGTATGCTAAGCTCACAATTTATGCAAGGGTTCAGTTCCCAGGAACTGCACACAAACACCAAAAATGCGTATAGCCAGGAAGGCCCCTTAATCCCGTAAAAGAAAAAAAATCCAACAAAGAAAAAAACCAGCACTTACCAACAAATGATGGCTGTGTTACTTAGTCTTCCTCTTCCTCTTCTTAGCCTGGTGTTGCTTCAGGGAATGAAATTACAACAGGGGTAGGGGGTGGGGTTTCACCGGTAGCCAGCTGAAGACGGTAAGCTTGGCCGTAGTCCAGCTTCAGAGCTGGGGTCGGCTTCCAGATCATGTCCCCTTGCTCTGAGACCACCTCTGCTTGTTCTCTGTGCTCTCACTGGGTCCTATATCAGTCTCTGACTCTCTGACAACACCGAAACACTCTCCCAAGGTTAGTGCAGTTGCTGATGGGATTGCCAGCTTCTGACATTTTTCTACTGTGCATTTTGATTTTTCTGGTGTTTTTCCAATTTCTTTATTTTCCGATCGCCTGTGTACAGTATTGTTGTGTTTGTGTGGTGAGTGTAAGTTGTGGGCTTGCTGTATACTAGGCACAATTGCATAGAAGAGCATGTACATCAGCAGACACTTGCACTGAAATTCTTTTGAATTTTCGTGAGGACTTTAGAAAAGAAAATCACAAACAGATCTGGAAATATGGGTAATTAAACTTTAGTAAAATGAGAAACCCAAAGAAACGAAAAATGGAAAATGAACACATCAGGATAAACACAGACTTCCCCATGCCATGTATGCTTTCCTTGTGGACTAGGATGGCTTGCTCTGTTCAAACAAGCAGCCCCCTGACTTGCCTTCTGAGATTGTGTGATTCAGGTGTGGAGAACTACATTCCTTGGCAGCCTCTGAGAGGTCAGGGGTCAGGGTTGGTGGGGCCATAGGCAAAACTGGCCAGAGCAGTGGTGGCTTTACCTTTGTGCAGTAGGATGTGGGTCATCAGAAGAAGCCATAGGATTAACGTCTTTTTCTTTTTCCAGCCGAGCGTTTGCACGTGACGATATTGCCCTGAATTACCGTGATGCTGAGGGCGATCTGATCCGCCTGCTGTCTGATGAGGATGTTGTACTCATGGTGAAGCAGGGCAGGAGTTGGCCTTTTGAGAAGCACATCTTCCCGTGGAAACTGCATGTTACTCAGCAAGATGATTACAGTGTCTATGACCCAGCGGGAGCTGGAATCGCAGCACAAACAGCAACAGAACCATGATCCTTGTTGCTAGTGTTGCTCAACGGGTACGGGTGTGTGTGTGTGTGTGTGTGTGTGTGTGTAATACAACAACCTGGAACCATGTGGAACTGTCCTGCAGGACTTTCTCCATATTTTACTACACATTTTCTTTGGTTAACAATATGCATTGCATTATCACAGAGGGTTATTTTGGGTTTCTCCTAAATACGGGTCCTCGTGTTGAGTTAGACTGTACCCACGCACCTCTCTTCTTGTGGGCTTTTTGGCTACTATGTTCTTGATTTAGAAGATTATTATTATTTTATTATTATGTTAATGTAAGTTATATGATAACATTGTATTGTAGTAAAAAAGTTACTATAAGCATGCTCTGGGTTCTGTCAGTCACTTCTAGGTTCTAACAATCTCATGATAGTATTATATTATGGTTAGCAACTACAACAGTTTCCTTTAGCTCATTTAAACATGAGTTTAAAATTCATTTCTCCAGCTACCCTGTAAATAAATGTCTTTACTTGCGTATCCATCTACTCTATATACAAGCTTACATTTACCAAGGCATCTATTTATGTAGAAAGACTAATAAAAAATGGGTTTTTAGAGAACGCTCGTTTACAGCATTGTTGGTTTCACTGAACTATAGAGCATGCCAGAGCATAATTCTTTTTTGAAACATCATTCCCTCTGCTTCTGATGCTTAGACTGTGAGTGACAATGCTTATGCTGTCAGAATGGTACCACCTGCACACAAGGGCGAGGTAGCAGTAGGATTGAGTAGGTGGCCACTGACTACATTTCAACACTCCTGGGTGGCTTTTGTTAGTTTGCTGCTTCAATAATCACACTGATGTACTTGGGAAAAGTGGGTTAATTGCTGGGAATTAGTGTGTGTTCACTTTTTATTCTATTCTATTGTATGTGATTTCTTAAAAAAATATAATAGTTTATGACCTTAGAATGTGTTGTATGTCACCTTGAGAACTTTGTGGTATTCAGCTAACAGAGAAATCTCTGTGACTTCTTGCGGGACAGATCCCCTGTTCTTCTGAATATCTTGATCCTTGAACCCCTGGACAGGACTCTGACCTCTCTGGGGTGACAGAATTTTGAGCCACAGGGCAGGCATGATAGGAACGGGATGATGAGATACCAGACACATGTGCAGGGATAACATGCTTAGAGAATGGTGGTTGAATCTTGAAGACTGACAATGCTAGCCAATAAGACAAACAAGATTTCAACTAGACAAGGGGAAGGGATTTTCCAGGGAAAGAGACCTCAAAATATGGGGGCTGTCCCTGATACGTCAGGAGAGTTGAATTTATACCACCAGTGTAAAGCTAGGTGGGTATGGGTAGACAGATTTCATTTCTTCTGTTTTTTTTTCTTCATACCAAAATCCAAAAGTTCTTTTATTCAGAAATAACACTCACCAGTTTCAAGGGAACTTGGAGCTGATACAAACATGAGTGTCCTTCATGGCAGTGTGGGGGTGGGGGGATCCAAAACAATAGCATGTTGTGTTTGCAGCTGTGCTAAGCGGTCAGATTGAGAGAGTCAGCATGCATTCAAGGAAAAGGGAAGTTCTAGTCCAGAGGAAGTGGGATTGAGCAATTCATAACAGACCATGCAAACTGCCTCGGCATGGTTTAGGAGCCACCCACAATTTAAAAAAAACCCAAACACCTTTCTTTTGAAGTGTGTTTCACTGATACTACCACAATGCAGTTTGAGTGGTGGATTCTCTGCAACAGAAGTACAACCTGGAAGGAAGATGGCTGTAAATAGGTACTGCATTGGATCACTGTCCTACTACCCATAAGCCTGCTAAATATTTCCTGGATGGAGAATTGAGGGCACTTTTCCCAGGAGGATTTTATTTATTAATTCCACAGCGCCCTCAAGTGTGCTAAGCGCTCCAGAGAGAGAGAGAGAGAGAGCGCACAGGTATAAAGAGATATTTTCTTCAGCAGTTTTTAATGTTATGGAAGAGAAGAGGATTTTTTCTTTTCTTTTTGGTGTTGCTGCTTGAATAACCTTTGGCAAGCACTCTTGCCAGCATGAGTGTGCTGAAAGCTTCCCTCTCCTAATTGCAAAAGCACTGGCACTTATAATCCATGCAAATTTAATTCCGCAACCAATTAGCATTCCTTTCTGGCTTGGACAGAGGTGATGCTTGCTGAAAACCCAAGAGATAAGAGAGAATGCATTCTTTTACAGCTAAATACAACCAAACTCACTTAAGATGCTAGAAAGAGGAAGCTGGCAGGGGCAAAGGACAGCTGGTTCTCATCAAGCCACACTTTGAAGCTGCACATGCAGGGGAATAGTGGGGGGGGGCAGGGGGTTGTGGCCCCGGTCGTGGAATTTTGAGGGGATGCGAGCCAGGCGCCCCCCCCCACAAGCACCAGCTTCCGTTGGGATCCCCTTCCTTCACAACTTGCTGCCAGGGGTTTCTGGGCACCAGAGCCCAGCCCAGCTTAGCCACCAAATCCCCAGCCCCCTCCTCACTCGGGGCACTTCCTGGATGGTGAGTGAGGTGGGCAAAGGGTGAACCCAGCCCAGCCCAGCCCGGTTCTCCTTTCCACAGGCATCAGGTTAATTTGTCCACCAAGGGCTGCGTTGGCCAGTTGGGCTTCCCCCTGCACAACCGGGCAGGTGGTGCAGTGCAGCCCTGCTTGGCCCCGGTCAGGGCAGGGTGTGGGTTCGCCTCAGCGGGGTAGATGTCCAGAGCCCAATTCAGCAGAATGAACAGGAGAGCCACAAAACACAGTAAGGCAGGTTTGTCCCATATTGTAGTAAGGGAAGCATAACACAGCATCGTCTAAAGATCCCCACTGATCACTCAGTCAACAAGAAAAACCTCTAGGTTTTAGCACATTGTGTTAAGAGCTTTTCAAGTTCATTTAAGCTTTAAAATGCCATGAAATTACAGCCCTTAAGGGCCACACCATTAATGGATGTGCTATTCAAAAACATTTGTGCTGCTACAGTGTGGTATCCTATCCTATGGTCACTAACGGTTGGCAGGATGCAGCTGCTTCCCTGACCGCCTATCATTGACATTGCTGAGGCTCACCAAGAGAGGAAAGGGCAAAGCAGCAGCAAGGTCAGCACAGTGCAAATGCATTGGCAGAACCAGTCCAGGGCTCCTGCCAGTATGTTTGCACCGCACTGGCCTTGCTGCCGCCTTCTTGCCCCACCTAGTAATGCTGGTGATGCCATGTTGGGTTAGCACCACCATCATCCTGACCTGCCAACCACTACTGCCTGTGGTTTGTTCCAGCGTCACCCCTACCTTGAATCTGGGTGGCTATTGGCAGAGTGGTTTGTATGAGCCCCAGACCTGTCTGCTCAGTGGGATGGAGTCTATGGAACTGAAGCTAAATGACATCATCTGAGTGGTCCCAGGTTCCCCACTTGTAGTTACTATGCACGCACAGTCTTTTATTTCCATGTTGTCTCCAAGCGGAATGTGATAGGAAGGGAAGAGTGGCAAGAAGTGCTCATTTGCCAGCCCCAAAAACATGTCACACTTTGTCAGAAGAAGCAGGAAAGTTGTGCAATCTGTATAACAATGGAAACAGAACAACTTCCTCTTCCATTCCAGAATCGATTTTGAAAGGAGGCAGCGTATGAGAAAAGGAAACCGAGACGAAATTCTCAAGAACAGCTCTCAGGCACTGAATGTACGATTCACCCAGGCTATTTGAAGACCAAAGAATGGGAGATCTCCTATATCTCTGAAGAAGACCAAAAGGCTTAACCCTCCCTTGGCTCTAGAGGAAAACATTACATCTCTTGCTTCAGGTAAGGAAACTATCTTTCTAGAGACTTGGAGAATTAAATGATAAAATCATTGGATTTTGGGGTGGGAAAGAAAAGGCATTTCCCATGCATTTGATGAACTGAACATTGTCATAGGATAGCCTCCCCAAACCTGGTTCCTTCCAGATGTTTTGGACTACAACTCTCATCAGTGCCAATTGGGGAAGGCTAGGATAGCAGATCATTATACTCAGGAAAATGGAAGCTCCCTGCTTTGCTCTTTCAGGTACAGGAGACAGGGGAGGAAAAGCAGGAGAAAAACACTCTTTCCTGAGATAAAGCACAGTCTTTCTCTCTCTGAAATGGAAGCCGGAGCCTTTCATAGGAGCAACCAGCATACTTGGTCCCATTCGTTCCACCCTGAAGCCTTTCCCTTGAGCTGATGATCAGAGGCACCTGCCTGGCAGTTCTTTGCCCTTGAGAAGTGCTCCTCAGTGGGCTGCTGGTGCGGTCAGGCACAATGCACACTTTTTCAACCTTTTGTTGTGCCCTAATCTGGCAGATAGGGACGCGGGTAGCACTGTGGTCTAAAGCACTGAACCTAGGGCTTGCCGATCGAAGGTCAGCGGTTTGAATCCCCACGGCGGGGTGAGCTCCCGTTGCTTGGTCCCTGCTCCTGCCCACCTAGCAGTTCGAAAGCATCTCAAAGTGCAAGTAGATAAATAGGTACCACTCTGGCGGAAAGGTAAATGGTGTTTCCATGTGCTGCTCTGGTTTTGGCAGAAGTGGCTTAATCATGTTGGCCACATGACCCAGAAAAACTGTCTGCAGAAGCGGACAAACGCCGGCTCCCTTGGCCTATAAAGTGAAATGAGTGCTGCAACCCCAGAGTCATTCACAACTGGACTTAACTGTCAGGGGTTCTTTACCTTTACCTTTTTTTAATCTGGCAGATGGAAAAAGGTGTCTTTCAAAAATTATTCTTAACCCCCCCCCCAAAAAAAACACCCTTGGCTATTTTGTCTACATGAAACATACTTGAAACATTGCTTCTGGTTGAAGCTTGCTCTTGCACAATTCCATAGACTTTTTTTTAAAAAAAGATGCATGTGCACAGGTGAAAAATACCTGCGTACATGCCCACAATGAACCTCAAGTTTCTGGAACTCACGAAGGGGTGGGGAAGTACTAACTGAAGGCGGGGGCAACAACACATAGTACAAATGCACCCCCTCAAGCCCTGCCTGCTAATGTGAATGTGAAACATTGAGACTGGTTTTGGAGCCATGAAATTGAAAGCACTCATATGTGTACAATGGGGGGGGGGAAATGATACACACACGCATTCCTGTGGACACAGCTATAGTCAATGGCCAGGGAATTGGTTGTTGTTGTTGTTGTTTAGTCGTTTAGTCGTGTCCGACTCTTCGTGACCCCATGGACCAGAGCACACCAGGCACTCCTGTCTTCCACCGCCTCCCACAGTTTGGTCAGGCTCATGTTTGTAGCTTCAAGAACACTATCCAACCATCTCATCCTCTGTCGTCCCCTTCTCCTTGTGCCCTCCATCTTTCCCAACATCAGTGTCTTCTCCAGGGAGTCTTCTCTTCTCATGAGGTGGCCAAAGTATTGGAGCCTCAACTTCATGATCTGTCCTTCCAGTGAGCACTCAGGTCTGATTTCCTTAAGAATGGATGCGTTTGATCTTCTTGCAGTCCATGGGACTCTCAAGAGTCTCGTCCAGCACCATAATTCAAAAGCATCAATTCTTTGGCGATCAGCCTTCTTTATGGTCCAGCTAGGGAATTGGTACCCTGCCCTAAAAAGAAAGGGATGGAAAA